GCAAAATGATTTTTTCTCGTGTCTTATATTGTCTTAACTCTAAGAAATGAAACCAATTTCAGAGATGAAGACCCAGATATAGGTCACACCCATACGAATACATAGCAACACAGACAGAGTGAACACAAAACTTAATTTCAAAGGCTTTTATATATTCTTATAAATCACAGGAAATCAATTGCGAGTCATTACTGACCGGAAAGTCTTCGTTATAATTCTCATGTAAGAGTCGACCAGATTTCTGATGGTTTCCACCTGTCGTTCCAGTTGTGGGTCCAGACTGGCCGACGCCTCGGCGATGCCGTCCTCGCCTCCATTGGATGACTGGTCGCTCGAACTCACGCGCTCTGGATATACACCGGCCCTCAGGAACGACGCCTTCCATGAATCCACGTCTTCCTGGGTTTCGCACGAGAGCTCCAACTGTTTGTAGTCTTTGTAGACATTCCTCTGATCCGGATTGAAGATCGCGAACGTGTGTCTGCGAGACATGAATCCCGAGTCAATGTCCTAAACAAATGACAAATAACTCAATTAAATACCACTCTTATGGCTACCAATAAAACAATGAATGAGATTAACCTTAATCTTAAGTCCATCCAATGGTAACATATATTTCTTATCCTTTTCCTCTTCGTCTTTGAACCATGAAATGGATTCCGAGGTTAAGACAAACCAGTAGTCTCTGGAACCGCCTTTCATTATACCCAAGTTATGGATACACATATAGCCTTTACGTATGACCTATCGGTGCAATAATAATAACAAATGTTTCAAAACATAATTTCGACGCCTATTTAGCGTCTGAACAGAAAATCAAACGAAACAAACACAGAGACAAACTCGAAGACAGAGAAAAAACAACAACTCTTACCCCAGTCTGAGGGCATCGCCGCGTCATTTAAAAAAATTTAGACAAATTAAGACAAAGCGGCGCACAATTAGATGCCGTTTATGTCAATACATGTTCACAACAAACATATTACACGCATTTCAGTGCTCATCTAAAAACTCAATTCAATTTAGTATTTCACTAAATCTAAAATTTAAACAGAATTAAGTGTTTATACGGTAACAATATAACCTAGGTATTCATACTAACAATACGGTAGTCTCTAAAGTAGAGGCAAATATTTGTGAACATATACTGCATAAACAGAAGCGACAGAAAGGGCTGGTATTCGCACCTGATTTCCGAGCTGTCGTTTGCCTCCCTGTTTGTTCTCAGCCGTCTGCTGGGCATTCGTGAAGCCAATGAAGTCCTCGTGATTGGTGTTCATATACGCCAACTCCACGTCCACCAACAACAGGATCTGTGCCTTAGTCTTCTGCTCGCGTTCCCGGATATGAGTCGTTATAATCCTTTCCGTCTCCTCCCGGAGCCGCGGGTAGCGATTCATTCTCTCAGTACAGCGCCGGACAACGTTTCCCAACTCATTGATACAGAGGTCGACGCACTTGAGCGACGGTTCGCGCAGTTTTCCGATCTGTTTCTTAACGATCGCCTCGAAAGCCATGTCGGGTGTGAAGAGACCCACTCTTATGCCGTGAATGTTGCGAATGGCGAACGCTATCTCCCGACGCAACTCCTTCTCGTCGAACTCCATCTTCACGATCTCAAAGGGAAACCTCTCGTGAAACAGTCGGTTGATCCGCGCGCCTCCCGACAGCTCCGACGTGTTGATGGCCGCCGAACCGCTGCCTTCGATATTGCGCTCAAAGTCTGTCTGCAATTGTTGTATCATTTGTAACATTGCTTTGGTTTTGCGGGTCGGGTCGTCGGGCCGGAAGTTCTTATATTCCTCGACCTGTGCGACAAAAATACAAATCAATTTCAAGGGATCTTCTCAACAATATTCTCAACAAATTTACGTCTTTCTCGAGAGTCAAGTATTGTTTCTGCAATTTGTCTCTTAGGTCCGGAAGTGTATCCCTTATGTGATTAGTCAGCTGTTGATTGAGAACGCGTTGCAGGTATGGAGTTCCCATTTTGTCGGCCATATGTCTGTACGAGGGGTGTGAGAGGAAAAACTTGCGCTCCGAGTCGAGCGCAACCCTAATGTCTTTCCTGCCCTCGATATCTCTTTGCGAACGATTCACGACTCCTATGTATCCGCGACGAAGAGGTAGTAATTTATTCTCGAGTATATCCCTGGCGTCCGTCCCCTCGTCCATCAGATCCAGTTTCGTGATCACACCGATCGATCGCACGCCCTCCGGGTCTACTTCTTTGGCTAACTTAAGAGCATCACTGGTAGCCAAGTCCTGGTTAGCACTCGTCACCGCTAATATCAAACAGTTATCGCGCTTTATAAACGAGAAGATCATTTCCCGAATTTGGTGCTCTATGTCCACCGGTTGGTCACCAACAGGAACTTTGGTCATACCTATCCATACCGTAACAAACAAGTCATACGTACAGCTATTATCGCATTTACATAAACAGTGAGTCGAAAAAATATAATCTATTATTGAGTTAATACTCCCTAAAGGCTGTCGACTATACGCTAATCTATAGTAATAAGTAGTGTTATATGCAATTATCTTTCATTCAAATTCAAATGAGAATAGATTTCAATTGTTTTAAGGCAAACAATAGTTATAATGTATGCATAAAAATATTAATACACTAATAATAATAGTTTATATGAAAGTAATGCAAGACCTGGAAGATCGATAAGTGTTAAGTTGAGTACATATGGGGAATAGACGCGCAAATTGATGGGCACCGGAGATATGCCTTTATTATGACCAGTGCTCCGATCCGTCTCCTCTTCAATCTCTTTACGGATTTCATTAAAATCTGTAAACTTTTTTCCCCGACAGTGAAGAAACTCTCCATATTCTGCGGCAAACAATATACACAATCAGATAATGTCTACAATTTCATTGTTTATATGGTTTTGTATTCATTCATATTAGACCCACAAGTGATTAAATAACAAATATTGCCATAAAAAATAAAAAACAAATAAATGTCATAAGTTTCTAATCAGTGATTCATACAATCAGTTGTTTGGGGGCGAGAAGTGCTGTCAAAATAGGCAATAATTGGGCGATTCATATGAACTCAAATATTGAACATTCAGTCACAAAAACATGAATCTCGAAAACTCACTCAAACTATGGACTGATTTTCACTGAAAATTGTGGCTAAAAAATAATTGTTTGAATACAAAGACTATACAAATCACAAGACATATATCAAAACAAGAGACGCGAACCCAGAGTAGAGTTGATGAGCTGAAGGACGAGTGGTCTTCGGGTGACAATCCCTGAGCCTCGGGGCAGGAAATCCCGGCCCACGAAGTTCTCCAATACGGATGACTTGCCGGCCGATTGTCCGCCAACAACAGCGATTTGCGGCAAATCTAATGCCATATTTACACCTGAATAGTGACATCAAACCCATTATAATCCGCATACAAAATATTCACAACAACTTTACAAACATTTTACACATTTGTATCTATCAATCAGTTATTATCGATAAGTTTTGAGTCTAATATTATACACAGTATTAGTCATTGCATTCATATTTCTATGAATTGACTGTGAGTTTAGCGTTAATGACAAACATTCATCTATTAATCGCTAATTACAGGCAATGAATGACAAAATGATTGTCTGAATGAATGAATTGCAAAATACACACAACTATTCAAACAGTGAATCACTTGAATACAGGTATTTCATGCCGGCTATGGTGTAGGTATAGGAATAGGGGTGGGCCCTCCCCTCCCTACACCAGTTCACTGTAGCAAACACTACACTAACACATATCTACGGGACTAATAGTGGGGTCTATTATGGACACAAGAGGTTGACTATAAGAGGTTCATCTAAACTATGAACTGAATGGTGCAACAAATGAGATAATGAGTGGTAAATAGTGGTAAGTAATGACCCATTTGTGCGAAGGCGTCCTGCAATCGGTTCACAATAGGGATCAATCCCTCCATCCCTTCGTTTCCGGCCACCATTTTGGTGGTCACTCTTCACTCCGGAGGAAGTGGTCTTTCACTGGTTGTATCACTTCAATCGGTGTCCCAACCAATGGGTAAATGGATAACAAATGTATTTTAATATATATTATGTTATAATCAATGATAAGACAATACAATTGCAATGATTATATGAATATGAGTTGACTATTGGTTACACTATTAAAGGCATATAATGTCCACAAATGCATACAATGAGAGCATTGAGTCCATCAACACATTCACACAAATCACCGAAACTGTGGTTTTAATTGCAAAACGAGTTGTAATGGAAATAGTAATATAATCAATGTTTTCAATGTTTTTGAGAAAAATATTGATTTTCTGTACACTATTTGACTCGCAGTTCACAACTCATAACATAACGACTAATGCTTTGCAGAGAGGCGTCAATACATTATGTCGACAAACATTGTCACCGCACACCAACAACGTTACCATTATCTGCACCATTACTGCCCCCAAACAACATTTTATTTTTAATATTTACTTAAATAAGTTATTTGAATTTTTTAAGAGTTTAATTTTGTAAACCTAATATGGTTTGATTAATCTAGGATATTATTTTTGTCATATAACAATTTTAAACTATAATTTACAAATTTTAAAAATATACCACTCGTTGGCTATTTGTAACATAATATTTGATAAAAATGAATCACGTTTATACCCAGTAATAACGCTAATAAAATGTTGCTAAAATAAAATATTGTAATGTCACATTAAATTAATAAGTTTTATAAAAATCAATTTCACAATATTATACAACCTATTGATTGCTTATCGACTTTGAAACAGTTGTCACACAAGTGTTTCGCACATTATTTTATATGAAAACTCCTCATTATTAAAGTATTTGCATTTTTTCACATTTTTAATCTTTTGAATAAATAAACATAAGTTTTCACTACAGATAGTAATCATTACTCGGAATTCAAGAGTTCTTTCACTCATTGCCTCTAAATATGTGATCCTTTAGAAAAAGTGCCAAAAATTGTTTCCACAAAACATATTATCATTCATTTAAAAGCCAAAATTGACATTAGATTTAGGAATATTTTTTTAAAAACAATTATTGCATTTGAATTTCACAGTATGTCTGAAATTATTCTGTAGTTCAATGAATTATCTGAGAGCTTGTGATGACTTAATGTAATCAAAGTTTAATAGGATATTTGGATTAGTCTAAAAATTAAATATCCTAGATACTTTAGAAAAGTTAATAAAATAAAAATATTCAGGAATTTGTACAGGCTAATTTTTAATTACTAATTTTCTTGAACAAAATAAATCTTTAAAGTTATATTTAATACACTTATAAAAAATATGCAAATATAAATGAAAGTTATTGCAATGTTAAGAAATTTTATGTAATGTTACAAAACATAACATTTAATCGAAAAAGACATAAATTAAGGGCAATATAAGAGCTAAATATAATATTTGCCAAACGGTATCAAACACTTGGAGTCGAAATCAAATCAAGTAATGATAGTGTAGTTTAATAGCACTCCTCATAACCTTCACAATGTAAATCATTATTTTTAATTCATTATCTTATATAGGATTTTGTAAATTATTTAATAGTTTAATGAGTCTGTCGTATATAAAGAATATAACTTTTTTAAACTTCAAAGAGAGTGATAGAGATTGTGTCAAACAACAAGTCAATGAAATAGAAGTTAAATCATAAAAGTCGTCTAAACAACAAGTTATGAAAGTACAGAATTATTACATGTTTGTTAAAACAATTTTGTTTATTCTTTACAAGTAATGTAAACTGTGAAGAATTTTATGTTTTAGTATCTATAGACATAATGTCTATAAATCTTAGGGTTTTGCTATCGTCTTATAATTATAAGTCCAGGAAATACAAAGATATCAATGTTATGGTCTGATAAATCACTCACTAGTTTAGACTTATGTTCAACTCATTCATACATTTCTAACTTGTTTTTGTCGAAAACAATTCATGCAAATCAAGGAATACTCTGAACAGTTGTTTCAAATGTTACTCTTATTACAGTATACCGTATTTTGTTTGACATTTCAAATGAATTTTTATTTTTGCCACAAATCTATTGATTAGATAATGAAATTAAATGAGTGTCAAAAAAGTAATTTTATGATAATTAAATTATGTTAGATTTATGAGAAATGCTTGGCTATTTTATTTATTGCTTGGTTATTGAGTGGTATCCCGGAGAAAGGACATTTGATTCAAACTTTATTTATATTTGTTTGTAGTAATTGTGAAATATATTCCTGACATTTAGCTTATATTATTAATTCATTTGAGTTTCAACATATTTGACATATTTACTAATCTATTAAATTCACTAGACTTAATAAAAATTCACTTTGAATGTGATGTCGTATTTTATACATCAATTATAAATCCTATTATTATTTCATAAATAATTAATTTGTTATTAAAACAGACATCTATTAGTTTGTACGAATTGAAAATAATAATAGTGTTGAATATAATTGTCATAATAAGGACTAAACACTCCTTTTTTTGCTTGAGTTAGTACAATTATTTTGACAATTCAAGGATTTAGTTTGAAAAATCTCGATTCTTACTAACATTTTATAAAAAGTAAACACTTTTAAATTATAAATTTAAATTAAATTATGTATAAATATTTTTTATGATAAAACTAAGTTATGATCAACAATTTTATTTGGTATTGATGATACTAATATCTTTTTGAAAATATTTAATTAAATTTCAAATATTGTTCTATCATGGTTGAATGTTAGTTTAAAATCATTTACTGAATCTTAGTTTATAAACATGTTTTAATGAATAATGCATTGTAATATATAGCTGTATAATATTGATATCATAACACTATTGTCAGCACATAAAGAGATATTCTCTAAAAATATGTTATTTTACAACAAAAGAATTAAATATTGATTTTAATTCTTGAATATTACATAACGTAAAAAATGTAATAAAATTGACGTTAATAACTGGCATTAATAAAATTGTCTATATAATTTAAAGGATTATTGAATTTGTCTGTTTTTAAAAACAAAATGATATTTAATTGGATATCATATAATTTTATCATTTTAATAATAATAAACGGAAGGAATCATATTAGTGTAGGTTTGCCTGGAAATGGATTTCAATGCCTATCCCTAAAGCTCTTTAAAATATTAATTTTGAAAATATTAATAAAATGGTTGTAAAAGTTTAATTATTTTATTTCAAAAATGAACTTTCTACTTATATTTATTTTTATTGATTATTTACTTTTAACACAATCCATGCTTTTAATGAACAAATACAACATTTCAGGTAATCGTTGTTTTCAAACGAGTTGATGACTATAATGAATAAATTGATAGGAATTTGTGGATATCCTGGTGAACCAATATCAGCTCAAAATAACATTGAAAGTGATCAGAAAACTTTCAAATCGGGAGATATAGTGAGCTATCAATGCGTGGACTTTCTTAGTTACAGACAGGAACGGATGTGTCTGAATGGACAGTGGACTGGCTCTCAGGCCAGATGTGGTTATGGTGTGGACAATGACATCCTAAAGATAGTTATAAGAAGTTGTATGACGGATGAAGTGGTGACGGAATATGATTTGAAAGTAATGCACAAAAATGTGGACAAATTTGCAAATTCCTTCTCAACGGACAGATACTCTGAGACTCCAATAAGAGTGCAGAACTCGACATGTTTTCGATGGCATTTGTATTTCACTAATAGATCCCATTTGGCATTCATTAGAGCGGATTTCGCGACAATATTTGAAAGTATCTCCAAATCTAATCGTGTCATTCCTATCGTCAGCGCATATATCAAACACAACAAGACTTCCAGCTTATGTCAAATTGAAGCCCAGAAAAAGTATAAATACATTTGGATTAATAAATGGATTAAATACAGCCATAAATATCATTATTACTTTAATTGTGTTGGGAGTGAAAGTAACGGTACAGTAAATAAATTTCATATCTATGATTATAAAACTTTAAATAATTATAATTTTTAATAATGTATTGATTAGAGTCGATTGAATCAAATGAGTTGATAATAAGGACAGAGTCGGAAACCCCGTTAATTATAGATCTGATTCGTATGGCTGTGGCCGAGGTGTATGGCAGTGCCGAAGAGCCGGCCTGTGGTATGCCTGAGCTGCCAATCGGTGTCGGCGCTCGTGTCATAAAAGAGCATCAATTATATGAATTGTATTGTGAAGACAAGTATTTCACGAATTCAACGCCAACCTCAAGAACTCAACTCAAATGCACGTCCGGTGCTCTCTGGAGAGGTTCATACCCTCTATGCAAACCACGAAACAGTTGTATTCAATCAGAAATTCTTAATACTTTACATACGGATGAGAACTCTTATATAACAAGCATTGAGAATGTATTTTATTATAACCAAACACTTTGGTATGCAATCGACGGCACAATTGTTAACTATTACTGCAAGTCGTTGTCAGGTATTAAACATTTTACTCAATTTAATATTATTATAATTTAATTTGTAATATTTTAAATAGAGATCAGAAGTAAGAAATGTCTGTCCACTGGTGAATGGGATATTGAGGGACCTATTTGTCATATAAGTGGTCAATATATAGATCATTCGATGCCATCGACTATGAAGGAGTCGCTTGAATTCAAACATCTTTTGCCGTTTTATATAATAGCGGCCATCACTTCATTAGTTCTCATTACTATAGCTATCATTGGTTTGGCTTTTATTATGAAGAAAAATCATCCAAAAGTATGTAATACTTCAAGTGATACAACAAGTAATTCTTGTGCCAAATATGGACCAAATTGTGAGTCTAAAGTGGCCGACAGTTGTGTTACCGATGAGTCTTATTTGGATGACATATCACACAGAGGTGTCTCTATATTTCAATATCAATATCAGTACCAAAACGAACCCCTCTATGATATTCCTCCCAATAGTTCCAAAGCTATTCCTATTGTTTATGATAGAAGAACAATGGATCCAAATTCTGAATCTATTTACGATCGACCAAAATACAGATATCCCACCGATTAAATGATTAAATCTAATTAATTTCAAGTTATCACAGAATTTGTACTTCAATGGTTATTCAAATGGATTTATTTAAATTATGTAAAATTTATCGAATTAAATAGCCACAACATTTAAAATAAAATAATTTTACAAGGTACAGATAAATCATATTAATATAAAGTAAATGTTTTCCCAAAAGTTGAGAGATTTTTTATAAAAAAAACTGTATAACTATTAAAATCAATAAATATTAAATATTTAATTGAGTTTTAATTTTTAAAAATTATAAGAATCTAACAAATTATTTAAGATATAATTTTAAACTATTCATTCTCTTAATCACTTAACGTGAATACTATTACGAAATTCTGTTCAATATTTATACCGGTAATATTTTTTTAGAACGATAGTCAATACACCATAGATTTGAATGAAACCATTTTAATCCTAGAAAATCTTTGGAAAGAAAATTTTTTCTAAATACCTCTTTGTATTAATCTCTCCCACCAATGTGTAACTTATATTAACTTACGCAACATTATTTTATAATAAGTTTATGTATTCAATATCAAAGCAGATGTTTGGTGACAGTTTCTTATGATTTTTGTTTTCATATATATTTTCATTTTCAAAATTTTCATTTCAATATTAACAATCTCATTAAAACTCTTTTATACAGAATATAACATAAATAATAATAAATAATTAATGCATTCAAACTCTTATCAGTGACGACCAGCTAATGAACATATTTTATAAAATAATTTTGTCTTTAATAGTGCATAAAGCTATACAGTAGTATAGCTGCTATACTATTTATAATATTATACATAATACAATATAAATGACAATTTCTTAAAAAACAATACAACCATTATTACAAAATTCATTATACTGTAAATTATATTCGTTGTTAAATTAATTAAAATTTCAAATTCACACAATATTAGCTTATTTTTAACAATATTTCTTATTTCAATAATTTATTTTATTTGTTACAAAAATTATAACCTATATATTTAATATTTCTGAGGTTTTCATATCGTAAAGAAAGAATTATATTTATATAAAATATTTATATAATATATATATTTAAATGAATAAAAGTGTTTGTATTGAACGAAATGCGAGAACTGAAAAGTTGTAAGCGTTTCGCACAATCGCAGTCCCATTGTATACGTTTTGCTCATATTCTCCTCATTTAATAAAAGTCTAAATGTTTTGCTTTTATTAAATATATTTGACTTATAGTTTTGGTTGCTATACACTACACATTCTGTTCATACTTCATGTGCTATTCATCTCAAAACATGTTTAGTTTGTAGTCGTTTTGGTTTCGGTTAGAAAAACACAGAATTTTCTGCATTTTGTTCATATATTTGGTTAGTAATCGTGTATTATCATGGCTCTTTTATGATAAACACAACTACAGTATAATGTAACAGCAATATAATTTGAAAAACAATTTACACTTTCTATATACCTATTATATTCCTTACAGTAACTTAAAAGTTAGTCTACAGTATAATAAAAATAATAACATCAAGGATATTGATATCGATATATTTAAATAAATAATTAAAAAAACTTATTATTTTAATATACTTAACATGGTGACATTAGCATAAATAAAATGATAGTATTATCCAGAATATTCTCCTCCACTCATGTCTATTTGTTAAAAATGGTGTTATTATGAAATGAGAGATGTTTTCAATGATTTGAATGTCTGCTAAAATCAAATGTGTGACAAATATGTGAACCGAAAGCAATAGTTATCAGAGATTTATTTGGCAGAGGATGTGATGTTGCGTCGATTCACACAATCCGCTCAAAACTTGAGTCTATTTTTCAGTACATCTCTCGCGAGTCAGTTAAATAAGTCTTAAGTCTTAAGGCAAACACTTTCTCGACTCATAATTCTTGACTCTTTAATATATTTTTTTTAATCCCTTATGTAAGTGACACACAAATCAATAATAATCACGACGACTAACTACTTAATTACCAACAAATGATTTAATCATAGTCAATAAAAATATTATTTTGTGTACTGGTAATAATTATCGAATTTTAATATGTTTTGCTATAAAATTGTGTGTAATAATAATATGTGTAATGATAATTTAGCGAAAATTGTTTTAATCAGAAATGTTGTGAATAAGGTCTACAAATATGTGTAAAGTTGTGACACAAACGATAAATATGTGCTCCGATAGTGAGATGTATTCACTATTAAAGCCTATGTTATCCTCTTCTTTGAGTTTATAAATAGAAAAACTTTTTTTTGTATGCGAGAGAGAGCTGTCAGTGCCATACATTCTACTGATCTCTCGCTCCCCTCCCATTCATTAAGACTATAGTTTGGATACAATTGTGGTATTAATTACTTGTTTAATAATAATAACTAAGAGTGAAATGATGGGTAAATTGAAGTGCTTTGAGATCGTGTTGGACTCCAATCAGAGCGTGTATTTTGCGGGACAAGAGGTTAGGGGGAAGTGTATTATTGAGTTGAGAAGTGAACTCAAATTGAAATCAATGAAAGTGTATATGCGAGGGGTGGCCAAAGTGCACTGGACTGAGTCCCGGTCCACTGGCAATAGACTCGGAGCTTATACTGAACACTACAACTCGGAAATTGAATACTTCTTCAAGAAGCAGGTGCTCTGTGGGCCCGGTATGTACGCCAGTATATTATTTTACGGTATACTGTAATAAGAGTAACATTTGAAACAACTGTTCAGAGTATTCCTTGATTTGCATGAATTGTTTTCGACAAAAACAAGTTAGAAATGTATGAATGAGTTGAACATAAGTCTAAACTAGTAAGTGATTTATCAGACCATAACATTGATATCTTTGTATTTCCTGGACTTATAATTATAAGACGATAGCAAACCCTAAGATTTACAGACATTATGTCTATAGATACTAAAAAATAAAATTCTTCACAGTTTACATTACTTGTAAAGAATAAACAAAATTGTTTTAACAAACATGTAATAATTCTGTACTTTCATAACTTGTTGTTTAGACGACTTTTTATGATTTAACTTCTATTTCATTGACTTGTTGTTTGACACAATCTCTATCACTCTCTTTGAAGTTTAAAAAAATTATATTCTTTATATACGACAGACTCATTAAACTATTAAATAATTTACAAAATCCTATATAAGATAATGAATTAAAAATAATGATTTGCATTGTGAAGGTTATTAGGAGTGCTATTAAACTACACTATCATTACTTGATTTGATTTCGACTCCAAGTGTTTGATACCGTTTGGCAAATATTATATTTAGCTCTTATATTGCCCTTAATTTATGTCTTTTTCGATTAAATGCTATGTTTTGTAACATTACATAAATTTTCTTAACATTGCAATAACTTTCATTTATATTTGCATATTTTTTATAAGTGTATTAAATATAACTTTAAAGATTTATTTTATTCAAGAAAATTAGTAATTAAAAATTCCTGAATATTTTAATTTTATTAACTTTTCTAAAGTATCTAGGATATTTAATTTTTAGACTAATCCAAGAACTTTAAATCCAAATATCCTATTAAACTTTTATTACATTAAGTCATCACAAGCTCTCAGATAATTCATTGAACTACAGAATAATTTCAGACATACTGTGAAATTCAAATGCAATAAATTATTGTTTTTAAAAAAATATTCCTAAATCTAATGTCAATTTTGGCTTTTAAATGAATGGTAATATGTTTTGTGGAAACAATTTTTGGCACTTTTTCTAAAGGATCACATCTTTAGAGTCAATGAGTGAAAGAACTCTTGAATTCCTAGTAATGATTACTATCTGTAGTGAAAACTTATGTTTATTTATTCAAAAGATTAAAAATTTGAAAAAATGCAAATACTTTAATAATGAGGAGTTTTCATATAAAATAATGTGTGAAACACTTGTGTGACAACTGTTTCAAAGTCGATAAGCAATCGGTTGTATAATAGAGTGTGAAATTGATTTTTATAAAACTTATTAATTTAATGTGACATTACAATATTTTATTTTAGCAACATTTTATTAGCGTTATTACTGGGTATAAACGTATGATTCATTTTTATCTAATATTATGTTACAAATAGCCAAAGAGTGGTATATTTTTAAAATTTGTAAATTATAGTTTAAAATTGTTATTTAACAAAAATAATATCCTAGATTAATCAAACCATATTAGATTTACAAAATTAAACTCTTAAACAATTCAAATAACTTATTTAAGTAAATATTGAAAATAAAATGTTGTTTGGGGGGCAGTAATGGTGCAGATAATGGTAACGTTGTTGGTGTACGGTGACAATGTTTGTCGACATAATGTATTGACGCCTCTCTGCAAAGCATTAGTCGTTATGTTATGTGTTGTGAACTGCGAGTCAAATAGTGTACAGAAAATCAATATTTTTCTCAAAAACATTGAAAACATTGATTATATTACTATTGAAATTACAACTCGTTTTGCAATTAAAACCACAGTTTCGGTGATTTGTGTGAATGTGTTGATGGACTCAATGCTCTCATTGTATGCATTTGTGGACATTATATGCCTTTAATAGTGTAACCAATAGTCAA